GTAAGGACAAACAGTGAACAAAACATTGTGAGGAAGCCACTTATAATCTATACTAACATTATAAAGAAGTAAAATTTCCCAGAACAGGGGGGTGGGTTACTCAGTAAGAGTCTGACACTCTCCCTTACCCTGGGCGGGATAAGTGATTTGATGATTGACCTCTGACAAAAAATCCGTAACATATATACATATGTTCAAAAATCGTTACGTATGTCAGCCGGGGTTGCGGGGTAAGTGCAATGAGGCACCGCGACCTCGGCACAGAGCAGGAGAAGGAACAGGGGGGTTTTTAGTCAGTAAGAGTCTGACACTCCCTCCTGCCCGGCCCTGGGCGGGAGAAGACATTTGATGATTTTCCCCACACAAAAAAAAATACATATGTATTACATTATTAAAGGTATATAATAAATAAGACGAAAGTAAATTTAATAATTTCAACATTGTGTCTTGCAGTTAATATCAAAAGGCTTATGCAATTGAGGTTGAAACAAGGTGTTCTTTTTTGCTGAAATAAAAATTTGCTTTTTTATCTTTTTTAAAAGTAACTATGTATGTCACGAGTGCTCCTTTTTTTTAACCGACTTCAAAAAAGGAGGAGGTTCTCAATTCGACGAGTATTTTTTTTTTTTTTTATGTATGTACACCGATTACTCGAAGACGCCTGGACCGATTTGCAAAATTCTTTTTTTATTCGATAGGGTATACTTGCCATTTGGTCCCATTGTCATGAGGTCAGGATCTGATGATGGAATCCTAGAGAAACCGAGGGGAACTTTCGAAAATTGTAGCGGCGAGTAGTGTTTTTGTATGATGTTTAAGTAGGCCTTTATCAACACTACAACTTGACGAAGGTCGAAGTCGACCAGATGTTGGAGCTGGAAGACAGTCGAGGGATCTCCTTGACTATTTGAAGTAGTTGCCTTGTGTTTGGGCTTGAATGATTCGTATTGACGAGCGCTTTGCAGCAGGCTTGGTTGTAACTGTCATTAAGGGTCTGATGATGAGAACGAAGGACAGCTCAAGGAACTCCTGAACGGTTTACAGTAACTGCTTCGTGTTTGAACTTAATTCATTTATATTGATGAAAACTTTGTACCTGTATGTATTATAACAACTGAAGGTCTGCAGTTTACCTGATGATGGAGACCATTGACCGTCGAGGGAATTCCGGATGGAACCGAGAGACAGTCGAGAGAACTCCTCAACGATTCATAGCAGCTTCCTTGTGTTTGAGCTTAATTAATTCGTTTTGATAAGAACTTTACATCTAGATGGATTGTGACTGTCATCAGGGATCAGATGATAAAGACGAAGGACAGTCTAGGGAACTCCTCAACGGTTTACAGTAGCTACCTCGTGTTTGGACTTAATTTATATTGTTAAGAACTTTCCTAGAGAGATGGCCTGTGTTCCAGTAGTGGGAACATTAAAATGGCTGATGATGATGATGATGATGAGAACTTTCCCGTTTCTTGAGATCTATATTTTTTTATCGAGCGGCTCCTTTCGTAGGCCTAGGTACACAAAGCTACTTAAAAAGTATATACTATTCAATATGTTAATTTATATTTAAAATGTTACTGTAGTTTACAGAAGAACTTGTAACAAGTACTAAAAAGTAAAAAATAAAAAAAAACTACGTTTAAAAAAACCGACTTCAAAAACAAAAAAGTGTCAAATAAGTAATTAAAATTGATATTTTAATACCACTCTTACGTACGCGAAGCTAATACTTTTAATATTAATAATAAAACACTATCAATTCTATGTGCTACCTATTCATAGATTTGAAGTCGGTGCCAAGCCCTAAACAGAATAAAACAAAATGAGAATTAAGACTGTTTAATTGCTGAAAGACGAAATTTCCACAACTAACAACGTAGCTATCTACTACTACTTTTAACAACCAAGTACGAGAAAACTTTCATAATTCATCCAAATATGTATCTTTCTAAGCTATATACAGTTTCGCCGGTAACGCAACCATATAGACTTCTGATTCTACGCTAACGCCATCAAGTTAGAAAATCGGTACTACATTTCTTAAATCCTAACAAATAAATTCACACGCGCCCGGCGAGTGTAGGTACTCATGTATCATGCTTATTATATTATGTATTAGGCTTGGCACCGACTTCAAACCTATGAATAGGTAGCACATAGAATTGATAGTGTTTTATTATTAATATTAAAAGTATTAGCTTCGCGTACGTAAGAGTGGTATTAAAATATCAATTTTAATTACTTATTTGACACTTTTTTGTTTTTGAAGTCGGTTTTTTTAAACGTAGTTTTTTTACAATAAAACAATGTTTAATTAAGAAAGGTATTGTTATTTTATATATAAATGTGGTAGGGCCAAAACAAATGGTATGTAAACCTTTTCTTAATTTTCTTTTGTGATTATTGATAACATTCTACATTATGAATAGAGAATGGGGCGGTTCGGCCGGATTGATCCCACGGCTCACTGAAAACCGGCGTGAAGCAACACATACGATGTGTTTCGAGTTGTGAGTGAGGTCACTGGAGGCCCAATCCTCCTCCCCCCGACTTCAATGTTCAAATCCCCTATACTTATATCCCTAAGAGCCCACTAGAGGCTGGCAACGCACTTGTAGTAACTCCTTTGGTATTACAAGTGTCCATTGGCGGTAGATAATCTATATGGCTTGGTAATCAGCAAGCAGGTTTGCCGAACTTTCACATAAAAAAAAACTTTTATTCTTCGCATGCTCCTCTTTACCAATAACAATTCACCGGTTTTTTAATGGGCCCCATGTCACAGGAAGCATGCCTATTATCAAATTCTCATATGTACATATTCATAGATTCGCGTAGGTACGGCTACTGTTAATTTTCTAAAACCGAAAAATTTAATTACACTGCCGGTCCCCGAGGAAGCCTCGAATTTTCTCCAAACAATAATTTGTTTTAAAATAAAAAAGTAAAGAGGTTTTATATCTTACTAGCTACACCCACGCGGTTTCACCCGCTGCTCGGTTCCATTTGATTGTAGCGTGATGTTTTATAGCCTGTAGCACTCAGGAACATTGTAGCTATCTATCAGTGAAAGAATTTTGGCAATCCGACAAGCGGTTCCAAAGATTACCCCCTACATACAAACTTACAAATTTTACCTGTTTGTAGTACTTATTAGTATAGATTTGACCTGCATTTGTCTGGCTTCAGAGCGGTGTCGCTTCACCAGAATACAAAGCCGAAATGCCACATATCACTGATACCATTCTGTTTCGCTATGAAGGGGACTTGAACATGTTTTTCTTGACATAAATACCCAATTTTCTACGTTGTTTGCTTGTAAAAATCTAGTGTTTAGCTATTAGTAGGCATGGGAGGTAGGTGTGTATTAATAATTATACCCAATGATGTATAATTATACCTAGTGAATTTACCTATTTCTACGTTTTGCAAGTAATTATTGGAGTAGGTAGGTACTAGATACCTATAATTTGATATTTAGATTTAGATAATGTGTTTTCTGTTTTTATTATTCTACATACTTGTTTTTGCGAGCTCTTGGACTAACAAGCACGCTTTTGCCATTTTCCAATTAAATTCCAGATTTGATGATACTAACGGTAAATTTTTGAAATTCGGAATAATTATGTCAATGTTTCGGAGTGGGGACGCCTTGATCATCACTGGTGCTTACAAGTTCTCCTAGGCAAAGGCAAATAATTTGTTCCCATCTAGCCTCTTTCTGGAGGGAGAAAATAATCAAATGACTTCTCTCTCTCGCCCCGAGTGGAGCGACAGGAAGTGTCAGAGAGTGAGTGATTTTGGCTAAAATCATTTACTCAACTAAACCGTAAATAGGTAATTTTGAAACGTCAAAATAGAATAGTACCAGTCTTTCTGTCTGTCAGTCTGTTCATCAGTGAAGCTAGGTGCTAGACTATTACTAACTAAAAACTACCTCGTTCCTTCTTCTGCTTCAGCAGCAAGCAGGAGAACGAGGTGGTTTTCAGCAGCCCCGCTTGCAAGCATTAATCCTTATGTAGGTATTTCGAACTTAGTAAAAGCATTAGGTGCATAATTTCGCTTATAAAACCAGTAATTAAAACCAATTCACAAAGTAATTTTTTACTTATTAGGTAGCTACCCTAGTTAGAAAATTTCTAAAAAACAATAAACAAGAATGGCTCTTTAGTGGCTATCATTACATGTTTAGCTTGTCCGCTATTCGACCAGTGTTTGTTTGGCGGCGGTTACCATGGCAACGAGCTACATCGCCCTATCGCATCTCAAGTCTAATGGCCTCATGTAAATTAATGGTAATGCCGAGGTCATCCGCTATTAGAACCTTATTTCCAATATAATTCGCTTCCTAAAGGGTTTTTGGGCCAGGAAGCTAATTGAAGAGACCTCATTTTCTAATTATAGGCTTGTTTTATTTATTCTCGGTGATTGAATGGAAAGGCAACGAACGTATCTAGGTACATTTCGAAAACTTTGATTTGTTATTAAATATTTATTGATGTCAATCGATGTGATGGGGTGATTTTAGGAACAAACGTGTTTAGAATGTAGGTCCCAGTGGGCCTGGGCAACATACCTACTATTTATTATATGTAGGTCATTAGGTACTGTTAATGATTAAAGTTAAGGTGAATTTGTCTTGTTTTGCTTGTTATAAAATATTACAAGAACAGAGAATGCGAAGGATTTCTTCCTCTTTAATTAATAACTTTTAGCCATATAAAGAACTTCACAAGACCTTTACTAATAGCCGCTTGACGTTTGTGATTACTCAATCATTAAGATACTCGAGATAGTTCCAACTTTTTTTGGATATTGTCTGTGTTCTTAAAAGAGCTATCGCTAAATATAAGACCGTTGATCGCCGCGCGAAAGCTAAACAGCACGTTATTATCGCCTTGCTAGTTAACAAATTTAGCATGTTTGAAGTGAATGAGGAGTTGCAACACAAAATATATGAATAAAAATCATTTATTATACACAAATATAACTTTATACTTGATTTAATGTCTATAATACAAAGAGTTAGGTGACACCGGCCAAACCGACCTCCGCAAATAGGTAAGCGCAGAACTCGAGACTGAAGTAGGCTTCGAATTCCCACGCACTGACGTACACCTCTATTACCTTTTCATCACGACAATGTGCCACGTTTTCTGAAACAAGATTATAAATTCTAATGTGAATGATTAATCCTATAGTGTTCACTGAGGAGCAAAGGCTGTTTTTCACGGGGAGATAGTTTGAGCATTAACCACCAAGGGCATTGCAAGGCCAAATTGGTGGTTTCAAACTTTTGATTAGAAATTTTAAGTTAAGGTTTCCTCCCGTTGTTTTTCTTCACCGATTGTCTGTGGTGTCCAAATTAGTAATGTTAGACGATACCTACATATGGCTCGGAAAACGTCACATTTTCCAACCGCACACCTTTTGCATGACAAGCGGACGCCATAGCCTCTAAGGCACTACCACATTTACGACATCCATTCATTCATTCGTTCGTTCGTGCTGTATTAGAAAACGTTTTAATTTTCGTCAATCTTTCTCAGTTCGTTTCATTGTAAAAAACTGTTATTAAATTGGAGTGAACGTTTTATAGCAAGGGGGTCCCATATTTTATTTCACAAGTAACCCAGTTGGCCTCCGAACGTAACTAAATCTGAGATAACGGTAGAGTAAATAGGTATAATGTACTTCTTTAGCACCCCATCCCTTCACACGAGAACTGATTTTGTAAGAACCTTCTAAGGGACTAAAACGGCGAAGGGCGTGATTAACCTGATCCTCCAAAAATGCAGAAAGTATATCTAATCCACCTGAGCTTGGAGAATGTTAAACATCTTATATTTAATATAAGATGGTTAACATTCTCCTCATATAATATAAGATATTAGATAGATCATTATATAAAGAGTGCAGAAATCCAGCAATGCTGTCACTGGCTTCTAATCATCGATCATTAGAAGCCAAGAGAAAGATCATCATCAGACAAATCACAACCGTCATAACTAGACTGGCTAGAGCTGGCTTATGCGCAAAAACTTACTATACCTATCATTTATGCGGTATAAAAAAGACGTTATAAAATTGCTCAACTATTCAGTATTTTCAGATCAACGTGATTTATCTCTGAAGCAAAAAAAAACGTACGCATGTTCCTCAATGGTTTAAAAATAAATTGGTAAAATACATGTTTTTTTAACCTAGGATAATAGTAATGCGGGTGAAAGCTAGCTTAGCTTAGATATATATCTACGTATGTAATACGTAGCCGCCACAAATATTTGTGTCACAAATCACAATACACTTTTCCTTGGATAAGTAGGTACCTACAATTTACGAGTTTACGAGCTGTGGGCGATAAGCCATGCGATTACAGCACATACACCATCCATAAAAAAATACTATTTAATTACTCTATGTGTACGTAGGTACTTACGTCTCCAAATTGACGTCATTCCTATTTATCTAGGTCTTATATTGTAGGTTACAAAAAACAATAAACTTTATGAATCATCGTCATACGAAAAAGCTATTTTTATTCCTTATTGTTACAATGCAATCCTTTTAATCCATAAAGAAATATGTTTTGGAGCTCAGATTGTTTTTGATTCCTAGTTATCTTCTTGACTGGTGTGATAAATTTTGTATGGGATCGGGCGGCAAATGAAATATATTGTAAGCGTTGCTGAGTGGTGGCGTTGGTGAGCCCAATTTTTACCATTCCTTACTTCCTTACATTTCTAAGACTGAGAACTCAATAAACACTAAATCCAATTTAAGGAATCGAATCTTACAAACCTTGCTCCACAGGTCAACAGTCACGCAAGCGACAAATTAATTTTAGGTAGGTACACTTAAACAAGAACACGATCCGAAAATGGAAGTTCAAAGAATACAGATTACGAAAATCAATATTAGTTTGGTATTAAACCATCTCAGGATTCTCAGGTCATTGAATTTTGGCCCGGAGATCAAAATATGTATTACAATTTTTCATCAAATTTCATCGACACAGATTGATATTAATATTAACCAAACTTCGAAGTATTCCAATAATGTCACTGACCTTACAAAATACCTTTTTGGTAGGTACTAATAGTTAATTGCTTTTCGCCCGTGATTTTGATTAGGGATTCTAATTCAACTAGGTATACTTATAGATAGGTTAAAATAAGAATGTCCGTATTAAAAACAATAAATGTTTAACAAAAAAATATTAGGTACTTTCAATTTTAAAATTAGAATTTAAATTAATAAAAAATATAAAAGTATACACGTCAACAAGGAAGATAAATAAAAAAGCATTGAATAAAATAAAAAGTATTTTAAGTTAACAAATTACGAGGAAAGAGTCGAAATCCGAATTTATAATTATTACCTAGTTAATGGCACTGACGTATGAATTAAATATCCAGTCTAATGTTCAATTAATTTAATAAATAATCTATAGGTACTAATATTATAATGTTGAAGAGTTTGTTTGTTTGAACGCACTAATTTCAGGTTTAATACTGGTCCGATTTGAATTTTTTTTTTAAATTTTAGGTTGTGAATAAAATTTGAGGGAAGAATAGATACACGAAAGGGGTGAATAGATGTTGGTGAATTTTCCTTGTATCTATTCACCTCTCTTCTGTGTCTTTTCACCCCTCGAATTCTATTCAGCCCGTTTTACCGTACCTAACTTATTTATCTAGGAAGGCTCTAGGCTCTATATATCATCACGCTACTACCCACGGGAGCGGAGTAGTAATCAAAAACGTAGGTGAAACCGCATGGGACAGCTAGTAGGTATCTATCAAATATAATAATTTAATAATTTATAAATACGTGTCTAACATTAATTTATTACTTATCTAACTGACGTAGGTAGATAATGCGCCATAGCATAGTGTGGTGGTGACGGTATCGGCAGAATAGAATACAAGTAGGTATTTGCTAAAACCTCTATGGTTATCGGTTCAGGTAATCAACTAAAAGTAAACAATCTTGGAATGTGCTTATATCTAAACGTTATTTTTAGATATTACCTATATGTTGTGTTGCCAGGCGTCCGGATAAAGCCGGACATAGGTAGGCTTTTTGATTGCTAGTCTGGCCAAAATAATCGGTGTCCGGCCTGTCCGGCTTTTTACCTAAACTTTTCACAATCGCAAACGAGTGAAACGTAACACCGAACATGGCTGGAGCGAAGCAAAGACTTGACTTGTTAATTATTTCATAAGAATTCAACAAGATTTATGACAATAATCAAGAATGCTTGATTTACATTAAATCTTGTCGTACCTATTAAATACTGAGATACAAAATCCTTAAGAATGTAGGGTGTCCGGCCTTTTTAGCCAAATGGCTGGTCTGTCCGGCTAGGCCTAAGGCCTAGCGACCTGGCAACCCTACCTATATGTAAAAAATTACAATCAGGTAATAAATAGATGTTAGCTAAATAACTTTTAATATAAACAGGCATACTACCCACATTGTTTTCCTTTTGTTAACCACCTAAACTGATAGGCCGTAGAACCTCTCACCCCTTTTTTGAGGTCTGCAACTGCAATTTTATGGTAAAGCTCTAAGTAGGTCCTAAGCCCAACAGCGTATTGTCAGGGACATCTGTTAATAACGAATGTTCTCGCTACAAGTACATGTTTGTCCTGCTCACAACTTAAGCGTGTATTACCATAAGCTATTAAAAAATATTATGGATTTTATTTTACCCAGCCATGTTTTTTATGCTATGTAAATGATGATTGCATTAATCCTCCATTTTACGGCAAAGCATAGCGTGGCGTGAAAGCAGTGGGCGTGGCGGGAAAACGCGGCTACCCATCACCTGTCATTGTAAACTTGTAAAGACCATCAGAACTATTTCAACCTTACTACTGTGCAATAAAGTTGAAAATATTGCAAAGAAAATCAGTTCAGGTTACAACCACAGAATAAAAAGATACAGCCGCTAAACGAAGATCGTTAATCAAATGATTTGACATGCTTAACTAGGTGAGTAGTTCCTGATGTGTACAAAATTAGGCGCGGCTGAAATATGGCCGACTCGGGAATATTTAAATTCTTCTTAATTATGTAAGGGTTAAGTGACAAATGGTGTGGTGAGTGAATAATTTATTTTGCCTATATTATGACTTTTTTAAATGCGACCAGCATTAGGCAATGGCAATGGCAATCTCCCAACTGCCACAAGCATTTATACTATGGTGTTTCGTTAGTAGAAATAGTTATAATTTTTTTTTGGGATAATTTTAGTTCTAGTTACTCTCGTGCGGTTTCACCCGCTACTCGGCTTCATTTGATCGTAGCGTGATGTTTTATAGCTTTAAGCACTCATGAACATTGTAGCTATCTATCAGTGAAAGAATTTTGGCAATCCGACCACATGTTTCAAAGGTTACCCCCTACATACAAACTTACAAGTTTTACCTCTTTATAATATTAGTATAGATAAATCTTCAATGGAGTCTAGTTTTTGCTATTAAATCGTGCCTCCTTAATTATCTAATTCTAAAGCTTAGATAATTAAAATTTCAGAAAGAGACAATCTTATTTCATGTTAATGGCTGTCTCATAGATCAACTCATCAATTAACAAACATAGTAAAAGTAATACAAACCTGTTACAATTTGTTTTAGCTTGAACTCTTTTTCTAGAGATTCAAAAATCTTCATAACAGTTTGTGATATTTTGGTGACAGGCCAGCTATTGATTACAGGGTCATCGTTTGGTTGCAACTTTGCTAAGGCTTGCAACTGATTATTTAGAATTTTGACACCTGCAATGACAATTCAATTGTAAATAAACATAAGCATAGCACATTTGGGCCTACTAGATAGAAATTTTCTCATTTCTGGATTAAAATTCTTATGCTTCATTTTTATAAGGTACTACATTTAAAAAAAAACATTGCCCCACATTAGGATTTTCTTCTGTTTCGTGGGTGCGGTTACAATCATATGATTTCACATGCACATGATACCCAGACCCGGAACAACAATTTGTGGATCACAAAGAGTTGTTCCGTGCAGGAATCGAACCCGCGACACATTGTACGGCAACCAGTTGCGCAGCCACCGCACCAACCGTGCAGTTAACATTGGCGACACGATGTTGGGCACTTAATATCTTGTTGCAGATATTATGATCACTACTGTAGAATAACTATTAATGTACTATTTACCATCAACAACATTCTTTAAACCGTCCAAGGCGTCTAGAAGCCCCTCCATCAACTGTTTCAGTTGACTTGGATAATAGTCGGCATCGCACTCATGCAACTTTAAGGCAGAAATCGCCCGACATAACCTAACTCCTTTATCCCGTATCTTCATCCAGTCATTTAGTAACCCGTGCAGTTTTGAGACGTGAGAATATACTGTCTTTGATACCCCTTGGTGGTCTTTATTAGGGGTTGTAATCTCTGAAACAGATAAAATACACGATCACTTTTACCACAAAATTAGGTAGCTATTCATGAGACTACAATAACAAAATGAATTTGTACCTCTAGGTATGAAGTTATAATTGGAGTCATTTTTAGTCGGTGTTTTCGACATGCTGTTATCGTTATTATTCAAGTAAACAGCTGATTCTTTATCTTGTTTTGGTTATTTGATTATTTGTAAACATAACCTTAAAAACTGCTTTCACTATTTTTTTTTTTTTTTTTTTGTAGTTTATGGCCTGGATACGAGTCCTTTAAGCCAACTGCTTTCACTAAATATTTTTTTAGATTTTTTTTAACCGGGCTATTTAGCTTTTGGCTCATTCCAGAAATAAAGGTTTGTACAGAACCATATAACATTTATTTTTTAAGATTTTTACGTAAAACTCTGTTTATCTGCACAGTGTACAACTAACTTAATAACTTAATTACCACGGATTGTTTTTACTCATACTTATATTCTAATGACCAATGACCATAGTCACCATAGATAACATAGACAAATATTGCAATGTCAAAATCACCAAGCCGAGCCGCTTGTCAATTGTCATCGATGTCAACATTGCTAAATCAACTAAAAGAAAGAAGAAATTTCTAAACGGGTAAGTAATAAATGAGAAAAGCGTTTTAATATTATTTACTTGAAGTGAAGCGTTAGTTGTTTTGGAAGGTATAATTACAATAATAAAAGCTGAGAAACTTTGTTCTTTTGGTCTTCATTTTCGCATCTTGGATGTGGCTTGTTTATGAACTGTACCTAATTCTGTGTTGTATACTTTTAGTTTCATCCACAAACGTTGTTTCTTTACTGAAGAGAATTATATACCATGGCTGGACCTATACAGGACGTTGTAGAAGAAGATGCAGCAGATTTGCAGTTTCCCAAAGGTTATTATAAATTATATTTCCCCCTGCTATTGAATGAAAGGTATTATAATATAACCTTTCGAAGTTGTAGTAAAATATGATGCGCAAATCAGATGGTATTTCATTACAGAATTTGAAAATGCAGAAACCTTACTAATATCAGAAGTTGACATGTTGCTGGAACATAGAAAAGCCCAGAATGAGTCTGCGGAGGAGGAACAAGAATTCTCTGAAGTTTTTATGAAAACCCTGACATATACTAACATGTTTAAAAAGTTTAAAAATAAAGAAACTATAGCTGCAGTCAGAAAGTAAGTGTAATTTTTTTATCTGATCTTTCATTTAAATTACTATTCTTGTTCACTTACTTATAATGTTGATGTGGTGAGCGTGAGCGAGTGAAACGCGAGAGTAGCTAGCTACTCTCGCGCGGTTTCACTGTTCGGCTCCTACAGATCGTAGTGTGATGTTTTATAGCCTATAGCACTCAAGAACATTGTAACTATCTATCAGTGAAAGTAAAAACCAAAAATTACCATATATACAAACTTACAAATTTTACCTCTTTATAATATTAGTATAGACAAAGATAGAATTTCTTTATTTTAGTCGCCAGCATGAATAACCCCGGTCTACTTGAATGTAGATCAACTATTTATAATCTCAGTCACCAGTTTTTTTTTATCCTTTATACAGGTTAACAATTGAGATTAAGCTTTCACAATATGTCCTGTACACTAAGGGCCTGTTTCACTCTCTTATACATGAATATTAATTAGCAACTCAAATTATTACAATTTACAAAAATAACCAAGACTGAACTTTTAATACTTAACTATTTGTGTTGTATGAAGTTGATGAAACAACTAAATAAATGTCTAATTATTCAAATAACAAATCTATTCCAGCCTTCTTCAATCGAAGAAACTGCATAAGTTTGAAGTGGCAAGTTTAGCAAATCTGTGCCCTGAGACACCAGAGGAGGCTAAAGCTCTGATACCATCATTAGAAGGAAGATTTGAAGATGAAGAACTAAGAATACTGTTAGATGATATACAGACCAAGAGAAGTTTACAATATTAGACAATGATTTAATTATTTAAGTTTTATATACTAAGACTGAATTTTAATATATTTTGGATTCAGTTACCTTGTTTTTTATTTGCACTGTATTTCAATTTAACCTTTCAATTGAGTAATTCGAAAAACAACAGAAGAACAGTAGATAGGAACATATCCGGCATTCACTTGGCATTTTTTGAGTAATAATATTTTCTCTTCTTTTTTTTACCTACCTATCACATTTTTACCTAGTAAAACATTTAGAATCTGGGTATTGGTATTACTCTTTGTAAAATATTACACTAATTCATACAGCTTCAAGAAGCAAACGTATCACCTGATAGAAAGCAATCGGCGCCACCCATGCATATGCAACATCAGTAGAGTTGCAAGTGATTGCTTTTGGGAGTCTGGGATTTGACAATTGAAGGAGTTTCTGTATTTTTTATTATACTATTATCAGAACCAGCCACGCGTTACTGTGGCTAAGGTTCTTGTCATATTACTTATGGACAAATAATTTGCAATAAAATAATATTGTGACTACAAATTGAGATGTAAGCTATCCTATATTTCAAGTTGGATCAAAATGCACACGGAATGCAAATCAAATTTAAAATCGGTTTAGTAGGTAGTTTGAAGTCCATCGCGGACAAACACGTGACACGAAATGTTTATATATAAAGATTTAAAATTTGTAGGGATAAGTGTTAAATCTACGATAACTGGCGAAAAGCAACTCGATATAGGTATGTATTTTACGCCATTTTTTGTAAGGTTGCTGGCCTTGCTGCTTGTTGAGTGGTGTCGAGTCGACCCAAAAGTGCGGAAGCATCGATCCAGTTAATGAATTAATTAAAATCAATAAAAGAGCTTTGGTTTTAAATCAGTCTGTATATTGGATATGTCTGCAATACAGCAAGATACATTACAGTGAAAACAGATAAAAGTGATAAAATATTGGAAACAAAAATAGTAATTAGAATTTCTTCTCTGAAACAAAACTATAATAAAACCATTCTTATTATTACTTAAATGTAGATACTATTAATATTGATGTCAATTAATGCCTCTAACTAAACAAGCCCTTTGTTGAACATTATTTGTAAAAAAACTAAAGAAATTTTTATCAATAAACCTCAACAATTTTAGATAACTTAAAACTCAACAATCCTTCGATAATTTTCTTAATTTCTAATTTTGTTGCCTAAACATTATTTTCAACAAAATGCCGAACAAAAGGCTTGCTTGAATTATAAACTTATCTCAATGGGCACTTTTGGTTTAGTTTAAATGTTAGTATTTAATTCTAATATTGTATTAATAAAAATTACAAACTTATCATTCATCTAAAAGCAAACTTTAAAATAATATTAACCATCTATAAAAGAACTATCAAATCTAAGGTCCTAGCCAAGTTACTTTTATGGTACAACTCACCCTTCTCCTACCCTGAACATATAAAAATATTTTATGTACTTTAAAAAACATTTCAAGTCCTTAAATAAAGATGTCCTTTGGAATACTGTGCTCATACCAGCAGTCTAACTTATAGTGGTGGCAATGCAAACATCTTTATTTAGGAACCTCAGTCCACATCCCAGTGGTTACTTTAAATTAAACAGTAAGGGGACCATTTTATAGCACACATTTATTAACAGCTAATAATTTTTCGGGTCCTTTACTAAAACTTACTAAACCTTAAATTAGGTAACGACATTGGGAGAGGCTTATATAAATCCTAAATTACAACCTGGACCTGTGACATAAGTCTATTATTAGTAAAGCATAATATTGTTTTGGATTCCAAGTGTGGGGAGTCTAGAAGCGACATGGAAGCTGTTAGGAAGCAATGCGAACATAATCATAAAGCTTACTTTATAGAAAGTGTTTCCACAACAATGATTAAGCAACTCAAACTGTGGATCAATGAAGGCTTCAAGACATTTATAACAAATTAAATGTACATACATATAATCTTCAAAATTTATATTGTAAATTGTTTGCTTGTATATTTACTCGAATTACAGCTATATTGCACTTACTTCAGAAACATTTTACACAGAAATCCGGATTTTAAATATTGGCTCGGCTCTTCTTCCATGTTTAATGTTTTTGCACAATATGTTTAATCACTATACGACTGTAGTGGCATTTTATACAACATAATTATAATCTTATGCATACACACAATCGTCATGTAGGTAAAAATGAATGATGATAATACTTTTTGTACATTTCCAAATCATTTTTTTTTCATAGCGTCAGATACTGGTTTAGTTTGTCACATTCGCAGTCAATTCGAAAATGATATCTGCCGTCAAGTGCGATTGCTTACAATATAATCGCATCCCAAACACCCTGCTCCTTTGTCACAAGTCGGTCAGCCTGTACACTCTTATAGTCACTACGCAGCACCTTCGATAATTCTTCACAACTTATGGATACTGTCCATTTTGTGCAACATGTTAAGTCATAGTTACAATAGCACTAGTACTTAGCAGTATCGAAAGTTGTCAAGCGACGATCAACATTCAGATTCGACCGTTTCCTTACATTATCACATTTGTTTATTGAATAACCAATATAATCAATAGGTACTAATTTACATCAGCAACTTGAAATATTATAATCACCACGTTACATCTTCAAATTCGGCGTATATCATAAGTTGTGGCTCTTAATAAAAATTTTGTTTGAGCAATGATAAGATTAAAATACTATATATTCCCAAAGGTGAGCCATCCAAAATATATATTTGCCGTCGAATATTAAAAAAGGTTTAAAAAATAATTGCGTATGTCCAAAAGCAGATCTAACTATGTTTATGTGTAAGTTGTCAACATACTACATTATCAGTCTCGATGATAAAAATGCATTTTGGCCAAAATGAGAAATCCAACAAGTGCGGTCCAAACTTCCCTAAACGAATGTTACGCGAACAAATGCCTCATGTACCTGATACAGATACTGACGAAACATATCAAACATCGAATTGGTGAAACAAATCAACTACTACGGAATTACAAACGTATGCATTGAAGAGTAAAGAAACAAGTAAGCATGTCCATAATAGGCACTTTATAGTACTCTACACTACATAACAAATAAAGTCAAGTTACCTGTATCAAAGTATGAGTAAAGTTTAAAAATTCAGTCTATTTTCTTACTTACATTTTCTTTTATCAAATCCCACAAGTTAAAGCTCTTTTGCATTAGAAAATCGTTCTAGCAACCGATATATCCATAACCACAAATAAGATGATCTGGCCCTTTTACAAATTTGGTCCGAAGTAAATTTATCTTCAATCATTACATTAACAAAAACTTCATGTATTTGAAAATAAAATAAAATGACTTATACTATAACACTTTAAAATTCTATGCTTGCAACATGTAGTGTTATGTACATAATTTTAAAATAATACATAAAATGAGATCAAATATATATCCAGTCATGTAAACAAATTAATTAAGCTGGAGCAGTGAGTGCTAAAATATCTAAATAAAACATTTTAGAAAAATAGCTCCCTCATTACCTAATGCAATCATTAAAATAATATCAGGGCAATCTTACTTATAAAACAATTTGTAGGTACTTGTGTTTATATGAAATATTTTTGCCATTTGTTTGGCTTCGTTAGTGGATCTAATGCTGCGATTAAATTGCTTTGGTTGCTCTGTTTGTCAAAATAGTAATTTGTGCAAAGTAATTGCAAGTCTAAAACAGATCAATACATTGGAACATCTCTATTTCTTACTCTCACTCGAAATTTGATGGAAATTAACAAACATTCAATACTATGTGTATCAAAGGACATCTTAATTTCGTCACAATACATTTATAGAATGTTTATTATTGTCACAACAGATTAATTAAAAACGTGTTATTATGAATAGGTGATAAAACTTTGGATGCCACTAACACGTTCAACTTCTGTAATAAGTAATTAACATTTAGCATTTATGCAGTGCTATGGGAAACTACGCTATTTTGTTACTGTACAAATAAACCACTAGCTCGCAACAACATCTGTCGTGTACAATAATGTTTCATTTGTACGCCACAAAGTAGCTGCGTCGAACTAACGTGGAATTGGAAATGTAAGTTCCAACTTCAACAAACATAGGACGTTTAAAGAGAGGGTTAGTGAAACGCAAGTTAATGTTTGGTAGATAGGGAACCCTCTAGTCCGTAGAGTGGGCACTAGCGTTGGTGCCAGTTGGAGGGACGCTGCGCGCCGTCAGCCAGGGCGGCGTCCGAGCTCGTCGGTGTAAGTCAGTGGGGAGCTGGCGGGGACGGGGGTGTTGTCGGCTGCAGTGGCTGGAACGCAGACCCGAGAGATGGCCGCAGTGTGAAGCCTGGTACCGTTGGCTTCATTACGGACACCGAATCCGACGATGTCCCTTCACCCGCTTTCAGGTTCACCTTTAACATAAGCATTATTCCATTAAAAAACCCAAAATATTTTTTAACAGATAATTAAATTCAAAAATGTCGTGTCAAATTACCTTTTCACAACCATCTGGGGGTTCGCGAGCCAAGAAGCGATTAATTTGCGGAGATGTTCCTAACTTAGACCCGTCGAGATCTGGAGAAGAACACACGCTGCCTCCTGGAATTGAAATCCATTATAAGAAACACAGATAACAACAGTTTGATATTAAAATGTGAAAATGACAAATCATCATTCTGTTAAGCAAATTTAAGAAAATGAAAACTACTTTCAGTTTTATTCTGTCTACTGCTATTTCATGTATCTTCTACAGAACTGAAATGTTATTCTTAAAAGCAAAATAAGCAAAATATTTGAACAAAACCATGCTTGGAGACTATCAAACCATTCTGATGTTTTGTGCATCAACTATTATTTGCGAGGGGTTGTCTAAAAGCTATAGTTGTTTATAGACCTGTGGCCAACAGCTCTGCCGACCCACCACTGGAGAGAGACCCCCGCGACGGTGGATCTATGCCCACAATGTACACACAACATAAATATTATTCCTAACTGTGGGAAATATCATCATGTGTATAAACAAGAATGTAATATTTTTCTTCAAACTGAGAGTCTACTAAAATATTGAAGAGAGAAAGAGACAGAAAAGTATTGTAAAACCTTTCAAGATTTTGTAAGTCTTAAAGATCCATATAAATATTATAAAATACGAGATTAGAATGTTCAAAATATTAAAAATGACGAAATTTAGGGAAACAGATCATAATACCTGAAGAATGAGCAGTATGACACAGATCGTGTGGTGTCTGTGTGTTCACAGAACGCCTTAGAAGTTCCGCAAGAGGTGCGCGATGCCCTTCCGGAGTCACCTGTAATAAGTGATAACAATATTTAAAAAAACCAGATATACTAACAGATTGACAACATTTAATATTTAGGTATATTAAGGTCACAAATTTCTTATTTGTTGAAACCGATACAAAATAATAATTATTAACTGGGTGGAGGTAGTTTTACAAAGTTAAGTGGTTTGTAAAGAAATACCACTACACACACAAATATCCCGTTACACACATTCTTGTTGGTGAACCAAATTATACTAAACAGAACATACAACTTTGTGTATATTTCCAATTAGCAGATTTATGTGGACTATTTTTAGTTGGGATGAGGATGTTATTGTTCAAACATTCTTGTGTTACACACTGGAATATTTCAAATGCATACATTTAATAACACCGTTTTGCAGGCTACATTTGTATTAACTGTAACAAAAAATAAATACTTCAATACTGGTATTTCACTTCCAATAAAAATTAATGTTTTCGATTTGACAAAAAAAAAAATGTAGTTTGTGCAGACTGATTATACCTTGTCTCTTAGCCGATCTAGATGTGGAGTTTGAGTGCCACTTGCTGGTTGCAGCACGAGTCTCTCGATCTCCTGATTTAGACCCTCGACAGATGATCTGGCAGCTCTCAACGGGACACTGCTACCTCCAAAACGGGACCCTGATGATTATAATTAAATAATGATTTACAGCTAAAATTATATTTTATCTCAATCCAATTATTTTTACTTCCATTGAGTGTTGCTCAAAATCCAGAGTTGATGCCTAAAGATCTATTATTATTTTTGGCTAATGTGTACTATTAATTTATTGCATCTGGGAAATATAGTAACAAAAGTATATTTTACACTTACATAGAGCAGTGCTCATGGAATGGCTGGAGTAGTCTCCAGATGCAGAAGGTTTGTGTGGTCTCTGAAGGCGACTACGCAAGAAACGATCTAGCTTGTCATCATCAGAACTGCGGGAGGAACGTCCTGATGCCCCGCCTCCATCATCAGTCTGATTAAAGAAGTAAATGGTTAATGGAAATGAATTTCTTATAATATTTATTAATGTATGTATAATTTAGCTGATTTTTACTATGATCATGTAATGTTAAACAAATTCAAATCAGCAATTACATATAAATGTAAAATATAGTGTACATACAGTTACTAGAAACATATTGATATGAAATGCACTATCATTTCCTGAACATAATAATGGAAAAACAATAACTTTGTAAAATTAAAAATAAGTTGTGTGAGACTATAGATAAAATATTGAATACTTAAAAATAGATACATACTTGTGTAGACTTATCAATTTGCAACTGGCTAGCATGTTGATAGTAATCCCTGGACCATTGTCCTTTGTGATACAGTGTGTCCAATGATGCTGTACGTCTTATCACACTAGCACCAAATCTACTTTTGCCTGAAAATACATAAAAATAATTAATCATTGTTTTTGCCAATGACTTAGGTAGTACAAAATATCTTTATCACATTCAGCAGCCTGCATACAGCTTTGGGTTGGTTTCCTGATTTTACCATATACTTTTGTTTTATAAAAACCAGCTAACCGCTAAGATCTAGCCATTTACAGTGTAGCAACAGAAATTGGGAATTATGATTTTATTTGCAATTTGTTCACTAGCCTGTGGGTTTCCAAGATGGAGCCAGTTTATTTGCATACCTTTCTACAAGCCACCTATTGACTATTCACATACTAATATAAAGAGTAATTATATTACATCGATAAATGCATGCCACTTCTCATTGTAATGTTATAACTCAATAATGCCTTTACTGATTTGGCTAATATCGGTCTTGAATTACATGTATACTAGAGAGAATTTTGAAAAAATCTTGATAAAGGAAATTTACATATACACAGGCTGCTCTTGCCGCTAGTATATGTATGATAACTGTCACCATAGCTTTGCCTATAGAATGGAAAATCAGCTTACATGCTTACATACTAGATTCATATCTCCAAATAAAAACATAACATAAAAATATTGTTCTGTGATGAAAAGACAAATCAAGCAAAGATATTATCAAAAAGTGTTACATGAATCCTGGCAAAATTATAGAAAATGATTTCTAACTAAATGGATTTGAATGAAAACAAAGAGAAAGACACAGTCAGTAAGCTGGTGGCAGAGGCTAAATATAAACAATAAATATGAAATAATTAATGATTCTAATGGATTGGAATGGATTCATCATAATTTTCTATAAGATTTAGTCCCTGTTCCACATTATTGATTAAGAGTCTTGTAAGTCTAATGGATACATAATTTGACTTGAATAATCAATGATTTTCCATAACAAATGGGTCAAAATGGGTCAGTTTTAATAATATAAGAGCAAGCCTACGAGGCAGAGGAAAGGACTGTCACAAGCACTTGATGGTAATGTGTTGGTTAAACCACCAATAACTTCATCAGACAATGTGACATAGACCAGACACTAATAAATAAAGAAATTCTTAAAAGATATTGATTGCAACAAAAAAGGCAATTTGATTCAAGTACCAACATTTCAATGAATTATTAGTTTTATACCTTGACTCATAATAATTATGCTAAAATCTATTGTGAGAAATTGTACAGAATGAAATTATCATAATTTCTATTCTATTTCAGCATTATTAGAGGGTTATTAGTGTAATAGTATAATCCTTGACTCAAAAAATGAATTGAAGACTTCAAAGTTACTGATACCTACATTTTTCTTTTCAAATTGAATTACTTTCTACTTAGGCTAATTTCTTATAAGACTTTAATGAGAAAGAGATATTTAAATAGGAATTGAATATATATTATACAGAATTTACCTTTGTAATTGACAGCGCCAGGGCTTCGCTGTCCAGACAGGGCGTGATCCGGTGATATTCGACGCCAAGGGTTAGTGGGTGACAGCGTTGGACTGTTGCTGGCATTCTTTTTAAGGCCGCCGCTCTTCATCACTGATGATACCGGCAGCGTTGCTCGCATAGGCCCCTGCTTGCTCACGGGGCAGTCCGACTGCTTCCTTACCCGACCCGACATTCTGGCTTGCGTTCACACTACACTATTTTATTAACACCTCTATTTCTTCATCAAATGAGACACTGAACAACTCACTGCGCAAGAAAAATAAGCATTTCATTTGCCGACGCCGCACCAAGCTCTTTGTAGAGGGAATAAACTTGGAGCACAGTAACAGGCCCTGTTGTTACTCTGCCCGTTCTTATTATGCAATATGATAATTAGCACTTTCGTAAATGTAATGGGATGTAATAATGGGTGGATCTAATATTCAACTAGCACTTATTACATAAAAACAAAATTACAAAGCGAACAAGTCACATTTTTTCTGCACAATGGATGAATGAATGAAGCTGACAGATGACAAGGGACATCGCGCCATTCCCTTTTTGTTTCAATAAATTTTAATTTATCGCTTTAAAAATATATACGACTTGCATTATTCAAACTTAGGATGAATTAAAACCCAATTTAATGCGAAATTAATTATTACCTACGAGAATTATTCCACTTATTCGTTAGCATTGCAATTAACAGCTGATTATTCCGCCATGTCAACTAAGTTTTCTGTTGTCTATGATTCTCATTGTAGATTGTTTAGACTTTTAGAGTCTGCACTCCATTACACGAAACATCGCTACTTCATCTTTCTAAATACATGATATCTCATTTAGTACGTTTAATGTTCTAATAAAATATTTGCAAATGAAGATGATGATGATCATCATCGTCGTCATAACGATAGCTCTTCGCATAACCTTTATGTGGTACCGTGCATTAACCAATTCTTGGCATTCTTGCAAGAATAATATCAGGTACTATTCTTGCCAGAAACAATTTAGAGACCTATTAAGAGCGTCTAACTAGATTCTTCTAAGGATTCTGCTGAACGAATTTGTTGTCACTGCTTTGAAGCGGCCCGCGACTAATAATTTTTTTCTCTGAAGCACAATACAGTTTTCATTCCCCTTCTTCCAAAAGCCGTCTACGCACTTGGTGTCCGTTTGCGGCCCATTTCCTATTGCTTACTATCAGAAATCCCGTCTGCTCATTTCCGGCTCTTTTTGAAAAAAAAAACAAAGTGTTATTGGTTCTGTAAAAAAACGGACCCTTTTTGAGGAGGGAAAAATCGTCAAATGATTTCTCTCGCCTATGGTATGGCGGGGAGTGTCAGATTCTTAATGACTAAACCTCCTTATTCCTTCTCCCCAAAGAGTAAAATAACATAGGGCTTCTCCCGCTCCAGGCCGAGGCAGACTCACCTTATTGGGCTTGCTCCGCAAACCCGGCTAAAAAAAAAAGAAACCCTAACGCGAAGTTTTACGTTGGTCTGTCTGTGACTCATCATTATACTTACACCCATTCAACTTGTTGAATTGTTCTTTTATTTTATTGCTCGAATGAATATATTATGAACGAATTCAAATTTAGTAACAATGTGTAACTACTAATTTTATGGCTACAACATGAACTAGATTCAATGAGATCCTTTGTGGGCTATATGATTGATACGTACTTCCGTGCCTTTATTAATATGTCATGTAGTCTTTAGCAAGTTCATTAGTATCTTCTCACTTTTCTACTTATTTCCTTATTGATTATAAATAAGTATTACCTTTTCATATGTATTAATATCCATTATTAACTTTCAGAGAGATATAGGTATGGTACAGGATTTAAGTCAAACAAATTATTCTAGTCACTGAAGGTCAAAAAAACAGTTTATGTGGTATACAACCATCACATTTTATTATAAGATATTATATAAAAAAAAAACAAAGAGCAAGACAGTTCGAGAAATATATTAATTATCATCTAATTATCATTATTATGCTAAAATAATAAACAGTAAATATTAATTTATCACAATATAAAAGGATAGGTAGTACAAATTTCTACTGTAAATCAGTACTTATCCATTAAAATAAAATGCACCAAATAAACTTACACGAAGTAACATCGATAAATTAAATTGAAATCAAATTTTAACATAAATAATTATAATATGAACAAACAATAGCATAAATCACTGAACTGATATGTACGGAAACTTGGATAACTAACTAAAACTTTGAATAACGGAATAATAAACTGGGAAATTTACAAAATAACACACTTTTTCATTGACGCAAACATCCCATTATTCAAGCGCCCTTATAGGTAAATTTAGTTTTTATAGTATCCCCATATGAAATCTACTCTAGAAACCTACATTAAATACTAGCTTGCCTAGTGACATATACAAAATATCTTATTGCTACATGTCTTCTAATCGTTACTGGTCGTACTTTGAGCAATATTCTGCTTCTGTTGAGCAATCCACGCTTGGATCCTCTCTTTAAGTTCCGTGTTAGATTTCACTTGGTCCATAGACAGCGGTGAGCGGTTAAACGGATCCGATTGATCGCTCAGAAGATGTCTGTAAAACAATTTTTTTTTAAATAAATGATTTGCAATAATTTGTATTTTTTTTGACGGGGGTAATCATCAAATCATCAAGTAGCTTCCGCGCTGAGTTTGGCGCGAGCGAGTGAGACTGTTATTGACTAAAACCCATCCCGTTCCTTTTCCTACTCAAGGGCGAGGCGTAATATTTGTGCGCTTGTCCCGTAACCCCGGCTGAATATCAGCCCGGTTCAGCCTCAGCTGTGGTGGTCTAAAAGGTTGTTGAGGCATGCGCAGAACGCTACGCATCATACGCTCGGGTAACTTTATATCTGAATTCTTATTTCAAACTCCGAGTTATTGTTGAAAATGAGTAAACAAAAAAGCCAATGTATGCTGTATACCTTGCGATAGTTGTTCTATCAACAGTGGTGCGTGAGCTGGGCAGTATCACAGGGTCCATCATAAGTGTACTCATGATAGGGTCGAGGAACTCTTCGGGTGCGTTTGCGAGGATCTCTTCGTCTCGCTGTCGCTGAACTGCAAACTTCTGGACGCAAGCTGCCACCTCTCGCAGTGATCCTATTAGCCCCCCACCTCCAATGCGCGCTGTGTAAATGAGACGTCCAGGATTAGCAATTTAAAACTTCTGATATTATTAGAAAGTTACATATTTTAAGTATCTTATTTATTCTCGCTCTCGAGCTATCTCATTTAGCTAAGCTCAATAAAAAAGCAGTTACACAGATACATTGTTTTTTCTTAATTTCCTCAACAATAAGACAAAACCGCATCCAAGCTGTTTACAAAATTTAGATACAAATAAAACATACAGCTTATTTTTGTGAACCATTCGAGAGAACTCGGGAGAACCTCTACTATTTTCAAGTCACACCGGGACTCATAACCATGAACAATGGCGCGCATGTAAGTACATACCTAGCACAGCCTCGGCGAGTGTGAATAGTTGCGGCGAGTAGGACCGTCCATCATCAGAGACTGCGGCACAGAACCGTTCGTTGCTGCCCAACTCCACGTACATGCGGCATATGTCCAGCACTGTACTGGCTGGCTCGAACTCATACTCCTTCATGTCTTTCACCTATAGGAATTAAAAGAGATAGTCGTCTTAGTTTTAGAACAGATTGTTTTTGAATAGGTACTATAGTGAGGTTAGTCATACTAAATTTATTGATACCTAATGACACTAGCTACTCTCGCGCCGTTTTTACCCACTGCTCGGCTCCATTTGATCGTAGCGTGATATTTATAGCCTATAGCACTCAGGAACATTGTAGCTATTCTATCAGTGAAATAATTTTGGGAATCCGCCCAGCGGTTCTAAAGATTACCCCCTACATACAAACTTACAAATTTTACCTCTTTATAATATTAGTATAGAAGTATAGATAACGACTTACACAAGTCACAACGGGACTCATGACGGTTCTAATTTAGTAAATTAGTGTAAGTCAAGATTCTCGGAAGGCAAAGCAGCGTCGTCGCGAGTACGTCGTTATTGTCAATAATTTTATAAGATATTATTATTGCTTCTTAAAAAAATGTCCTTAGAGTCTGTTAAGAACATAGATATGTAGTATTGTTTTTTACATAGAGACCACCAAGTTAGCTTTTTAAACACCGTTTTTTAGACCCGATACCGTGCGATGACGCACGCAAGGTCCTCCTTAGAAAAGATCCTTCGTCAGATATTTGCTGTGACGAGACATTAATCATTTTACAGAAGGAAATTACTCTTTTTACAGTACAACAATAGTAATTTTAGTAAATACTAGCTACTGTCCCATTTTGAAACCGCTGCTCGCCACCTACACATCTAAGCGTGATGTTGTATAGCCTATAGCCTTCCTCAATAAGTGGACTAACGAAGACAAACAGAATTGTTCAATTCGAACCAGTAGTTCCTGAGATTAGCGCGTTCAAACAAACAAACTCTACAGCTTTATAGCATAAAAAAGAAGAAGATATAGATATGAAAATATAACTAACCTTAAAATTCTTCTTATTAGGTCCAACAAGATGTAATAAGAAGTAGTTGAGCATAGAAGCGATGCGCTCCACGAGCGTAGGATGACAGAAGACGTAAGGCGCGTGCGCAGTGAGGCGGACTAAGGTGCGAATAGTATCGCGGCCTAATATATTGTCGAAACGCGCCAACATTCCAATATGAGATAAGTTTGATAGATTCTGGGCACGCTCCTGTGATGGTAGGTTCGCCCAAGCGCCGGATTGCCTGCGAATAATTAAAAATAATTTTATTAAATGTCATATAATTGTATTAATTACTTCTTGTTATTTTTAATGAATAGTGTAATATAAGCAAGTGTCAGAAAATTGTGCTTCGGCACGAATGGGTCGGCTCGACCGGAGTGATACCACGGCCATACAGAAAATCGACGTGACACAACCATAGCGTTGTGTTTCGCCGTGTAAATCCACGACGTGACCCACAGTCCCAAAATCGTACTTCTTACTAATATTATCAATGCGAAAGTTACGATGTATGGATGTTGGTTACTGTATCACGTCAAAACGGCTGGACGGATCTAGCTGAAATTGGCACAGGCATAGGATACACTCGGCAAATAGGACATAGGCTACTTTTTATCAACATACAACACGGGCGAAGCCGCGGGCAGAAGCTAGTGTTTACTTAATAATATTGTACTAAGTACGTACTGTGCAGTTTGCATTGTGCGTATCTGCGCCATGTTCCCGAGAGCTTCGTCCAATAGGAAAATGGCGTCATTCATCAGCAAATTCACGAAACGTAAAAATATCGGTGGGTGTACGGCCTCCATGTTGGCCTCAGCTTCTTTCGCTAGTTGCCTGCAAAATAATTAAATAGAAATTTGAACATTTGTCTATACTAATATTATAAAGAGGTAAAATTTGTAAGTTTGTAAGTTTTAATGTAGGGGGTAATCTTTGGAACCACTGGTCGGATTTCCAAAATTCTTTCACAGATAGATAGCTACAATATTCCTGAGTGCTATAGGCTATAAACATCACGCTACGGTCTGTAGGATCTGAGCAGCGGGTGAAACCGCGCGAGAATAGCTAGTATGAAATATTCATAATATCAAAATTAAATAGTGATGAAAAAAATGTTCTATTTAATGACCTATCTTGTGATGTTTCAGCCGGGGTTGCGGGACAAACGCAAGAATAATATGGCACTGCGGCATCGGCCCAGAGCAGGCGAAGGAACGAATCATTTAAAGATTTTGCCCTCG